CAATTCAATTAATTTGATATATCAGACAGTCGACATTGCAGAAATTAATGTTTCTTCGTACACACTGCTCTATTACACGCCAGGTGGCTTGAATATTAATTAATTTTTGGTCCTTCTTCAATATCTGTTAACTCTGATACAGACTTTTGCTTTGTTGACCATGGCAACGACTCCCAACTGCTCCAAAGTCCAAATGAATTTCCATAATAGTACAATAGAGACGTGCTATTCAGTAGAAACTTTTCACATATTTATAAAATAATTTTATAAATTCTTATAAATTATATTATGTATTTCAGAAAATACATTCGCTTAAAAATATATTCTCAAAATATATAATATTTTAAGAATTTATAAACAAATTTTTTATAAATATACATTCTTCGTTAGAGCTTTAGAAATTACTGATTAGTTATATATAGTCATTAAGAACGAGTTATATATAGATTTCCTAAACACTGTGCATGCATAAATCAATAAACCGGTTTAAATCTCAATTAAAAATACTTTGTGGCCAAAGCCACATTTTCTAATGCAAACATGAATCAGTTTCATATCCAAAGATAAAAACTGTAGTAACAACTTGTGGGAGAAAAAAAAAGTGGTTAAATTAATTTACAAGTCTATATACCTTTTTGATCAGTCCAGTACAATATGGGTAGACCAATATGTATTGGGCCTAATTACACATGGTTGAAGAGTGAAGGCTTTCAGTTGAATTATTTACTTCCTAGGCTGATGATGGCTGTTATGCGGAAGGTTGATGTAGTTCTTTTTTGGCGCGATGACTTTGGCTGGGGGTACTTGCAATGACACTCTGACGATCAAGTCAGTATCAAAGTTAGGCTTATGTTGTATTTTTACTGGATTAGATTGTTGTACCTGGGTGTGTACCCTTTGTTTATATAGTAAACCTGATATCGCCTTTGACAGGCGGTGTGTTCTCTGATTGGCCGTTCAGGGGCTGCAGGTTTATCCGTTCTCAGCTGGTGATTTTCTGGCTATACTTTTATATGTCAAGCTACCTTTGTAGGGTGGTGGCAAGCTGGAACTGTCTTTAGTGTGTTGGCTTATGGCGCGGTGGTATCCTACTGTGTTATGGACTTCTTCTTTAGTTCTGAAGTCATGTCTTAGGTGGTTTTGGCGCGATGAGGCCATTGCACCCATGATTCTTTACGCACGATGGAGATATCGCGTGTTTTATGGGCCCTATGTGTTTGGGTCTTAACCTTTTGGTTTTTTACTCTTTGTGGACCTATTGTATTTTATCCAAATCACTTTTAAATTTTTTAAATATATCGTTATAATTTGAAAATTATAAGGGTTCTTATAGTTTAAAAAAAATTAATTAAGTCCTTTTAAGGACCTTATAAATAGACTACATAGATGACATTGAAAAATATTTTTAAACTACATATAGATGACATTTATAGCTTTTAAACTAGGGGAAGGATGTTGTAACAAACAATTAGTATTACTACTAATGTTACTACCAATTAATTTCACCGTTAGATCGATTATGTTGATCCAACGGTTATATTTATTTTCATCTTTGTATGATTATGATTTCTCATATTTAACACTTTATAATTATTTTCACCTTTGTATGATTATGATTTTCCATAATGGGGAATCATAACCATACAAAGATGGAAATAAATATAACCATTGGATCAATATAATCGATCTAACGGTGAAATTAATTGGTAGTAACATTAATTGGTTGTTACAATACCCTATCCCTTTAAACTATAAACACTTATTAAAGATTCTTAAAAAATATAGAGACGTGCAAAATAATTTTTAAAATTATTGAAAATTTTAACATATTTACAGGAAAGTCATTCATGGTATATTAATATGTCATGATTCATATAATTAATATGCTAAATCACTGTTTACATTTTTATCTCAGTCATTAACCTAATTTCTGAAAATTACTGAAACCAAAAGTTTAAAATTAAGGAAAAAGAAATTTAAGGTCTTGACTAGTTCACAAATTAAAGATTGTTTTCCGCATTTGTTGAGATTTAAATTCAAATTCTAGTTTTATAAAGCATGGAAAATAATTATCTTGATCAACCATGAGAGAGTTTAGAAAACGACTTTTCATTGTTGAATTTTTAATTTGCAAATCGGCTAATGATCTTTGAATTTTATAAGCCATAAGCATCTAGTTAGATGTCCTTATTCAGTCTCTTTCGATAAGAGACATAGTAGGTGGAAATGTGACAAAATCCGCAACTTACTTTGAATGATGAGTGCCAAATAATAGTAGAAGATGCCATATCAATCTCTTTAGCTCCAATTTCTACGAGATAGAGTTCATGTCCCCTTTTTGTGACGCATAAATTAGATTTTCAATGTGCTATCATACGATTCATAACATCATACACCAATATGGTTTGGACATAATTATGTGCAGGTTTAGGAATAATAACCTCAATATGATTAGAGATATTATTCCATTAGAATGGATAATAGTTGAGTATTGAATTTTAGAGCTCTCAGTTTCAAATTTCATGACGTGTACTTTTTTTTTTATGAAAATAGTACAAGTTACAAGATCAACTCAATTATTCTCTACAATGTCTTTTTATGTCTCAAAAGTAACTTTAACCACATAGTTTGCCTTTGCTTATTTACACTTTCTTTATAAGCATTATTTTATGTTTGAAACTTCTTAAGCAAGAAAAGCAAAATAAAGCAAAATCTCCATTGGATGTATCTAATAAATAGGATTGAAAGTGATCGTAATGAAAATAAGAGTGGTCCTGAAAACAATTGTGCACTGTGTCTGAAAGTGAAATTTGGGTTAAACCATTTTCATAATAGTTTTGTCCCAATACTTCGGGATTTTTTTACTTAAGATTTCATTAGTAAATTTCATTGCCGGTTTGTTCAATATTAGTGTGGCAATAACAAATATCTGAAGATCTGCCAATGATTTTATGTTGATTGCTAACTAATAAATTCCAGAAGTTTACTTTTCTCTGTTAACAGTGTGTGAAATCATCTGTCCTAAGAAAGCTGCCTATCTTGTTTTTTATTGGATGGGCCCAGAAAATGCATTATTTTCAAACTGGTGGCATGCCACATGATTGACTCTTCGTCACTTTTGATTTGAGTTTTGATATCCCCAAGGTGCCACCACCAACAGACAAGTCACTGAAGGGTGTCACTATCGGTATGTTTATCAGAGGAGAATTTTTTTTTTTTATTCAGAAATATTAACTTTTATGAAAATGTTACAAAAAACTATTTAGTAAGTCAAAATATTTTCGAGAATATTGGATTAAATTTTTTGATATTATATTTGATTGATTGTAAAATATGATTAAAAATATGTTAAATTTTTTAATTTTCCGGAAATTCAAGAATACCACCCCCTTGGGTGGTATTTTGGTTAAATTTTACTCACAAAATAAAATATCAGAAAAATCATATTTTCGAAATTTTTTTTCAGAAATCATCTATCAAACATGAGTAACTTAAATTACCACCTTCAATTTCCCAATAATCTAAACAAAAACCATATAGGAAACACCCCTATAAGTTTGACAAGATAGAAATGGACACCTTGCTCTGAATGTGTTTGCCTTCTAACCAATATAACTAGGACTCCATGTTCTTTTCAAGCCACAGTTTACGTGTAGCTTTCAGAAGGAACAAATCAAAATGCTCGATTGAAGCAAGTTAGTACCATCACAATTCTTGTGTATTTACTGTACCACAAGCAGCAATGTGGAAGTGTGGGGTGTGTATGTGTGTGTGACGTGCCATCTTTGAGCAATCCATTACAGTTACCATGATGGGAAAAATGGCAACAAACTAAGCAAGAGACAATGCTTGCGCTATCAAGTGGAAAACGGAGCAAAAGATGATGTGAACACATCACTTTCATGTGTCAATCTCTTCGTATTTGATTCTTGGATTGGACACAGGTACGAAAACAAAAATAATAAAGTATTAAAACCTTCATGTAAATACAACTTTCATCATGTTCTAACTCAAGTAAACAAAAACATTGAAAATAAAATACAAGTTTTGAAGGGAGTGAAGTAGCATATAGTAAAACATCAAACAATATAGCAGCAAAACTCGATTTTATGCATGAACTGATTTGTACTTGGGAATAAGTGAATATTGGATACATAACTATGTCTACCCAATAAGTACATTACTAATACATATTCTGTAGTCAGTACGGGTAGCCGAGCATCATAATCATCTCAGTGGTGTCATTTTCTCTTTAAGTTCGTTGTTCACAAAATAATACAAAACTCTACCAGGCCCAAAGGTCCTTTGGGCTGCAGTGACAGTGCTTCAGGGAAACATGTTTTATTCCCAAACTTTTTTGCTTATAAAGAAGCATACTAAAGTAATGTGAACCGTGAAGAGAAATTAAAGAATATTAAAAACTGGAATCAAACACCAATAAGGGAGAAACTCACTGACATTTCTAAGTTGAAACGATATAACATCCTCTCCAGTGAGTAGCTGAAAATCCTTCCAAGTTCTTAACTGGTTGAAATATAACCAAAAGCTAAGAAAAAGAAAAAGAAAAAGGTACAGAAAAAAATAACCAAATTGAGTAGAGTACTGGTCCAAAGAACAAACCTGTAAGGAGGAATAAATTTCCACTCAAATAACAATGATAAGAAAATCTCAACTTGCACAATCTTGGGTCTTGCATCAAAAAGACCCAAGGAAACACTGATACTTTGAGATTTCTACAGTATTAGCCAACTGTGCCATATCAACAAATTACAGTTCAATATTTTGCCAAACAAAATTCCTTCCAGATTCAGAAAGTTTTTGTTTCAGAAGGTACAATGAGCCTTTGATTATTTCTCTCAAGTGATTAATGGAAGTGGGAGTTACATTATAAAACTATTCCCAGTGCCTTGTATGATGTAGCAAAATATGAACCAATGATTTTATATTAGACATAGAGGGACAATGAACAATGGTTAGTTCGGACAACATCAAGCTTCATTTGCAAAATAGTTAATCTAGTTATCCTAAGTTCCTAACTACCATTAGCTAGCAGAGTGTAAAACAATTAATTAAGGCAGTTCTTAGCTTGTCTTCATTATTTTCAATTATAGCAGTATCTCTCCCTTTGGCCCAACCATGGATTCTGCACTTCTTATGAACAGAAGTTCCGATTCAAAAAGACATCCAAACCACTATTGTACATGAGGAAAAGAAACCTCCTGAACCAAACTCCTTTGGCACAGGTGGTAAGGAGCCTGGGTCCCTTAACCAGAGGTCTCGAGTTCGAGCCCTGCGAATGAAAAAAAAAGATTTGGGAGAGCCGCCCCCGAAAGGGTCCGACAGTGTTCGATTGGGGATTAGTCTTCAGTTATGGCCGGAAGATACCCTTCAGATTACTGGAAAAAAAGAAAAGAAACCTCCTGAAAGTCCACTATAAAACAATGATAAGAACAAAGACACCGAGCAATAGAAACATGTTAATGTATCGAACAACAAGGACAGATATGGCATAGCTATAGATACAAAGCAGAGTGATAAGAAGGGAGATAAATGTAAGATTCAAGCAACCCAAATAAGATGGATTTTCATGTTTATAGAAGAAATTTTAAGAAGCAGAAAAAGAGTGCAATTATCCATTAGACTAGAGGCTCAGCTATCCTCCTAAACGACAAAAAGGAGAGAAAAGAAGACAGCAAAAAATAAAGAAACTCAATTTTGCAATAGATCTCTCCAACCCTCTGCATATTTGATAGAATAAATGACATAGAGTTGCAGGTGGAATGGGCAAAGTATTACATAAGCAATCACCCTAGAGTTCACAACGGATTTTGAAAAATATCCATCACATCAGAAACTAAGGAAATAATCCAAACTTCATTAATCTGAAAATAAAGGGAGTACATATGAAAGAGGTACTTATTTTTATAAGGCTCCCAAGCTACACCTCTGAGAGGCTGGACCCTACTAGAAACAAGTTTATAGAAAAAAAAAATATAAAACTCAAAGTTCACTAATTTTGAAGACTTTTCCCTTGCTTTTCTTGACCAGCCTTTTCCACAATTTATTGTAGTAATTTTTCTACATTAATAAACTTTAGGAAGAGCGCAAAATAGAAGCCACAAAAACAACCAAGTCACGGCTTTAAAATGATTTATCATTAGAAATACTCGCATTATGCTCCAACATAATCTGTTATCCACACTGGCTTGAAGCATCTTCCTTCTATGACTGCTATTATAAATTTCTTAGTCTACCCCTTGGAAGCAACAGATACCTTCTAACAGCAAGTATAAGCAACCAAGAAGTGGCAGAGATTTTCTCCTTGATCATTAAAAGCAGTGCTGAGCTCAAAACAGTTTTTAAGATCTGAGCCTGCAATCCTTTGAAAAATCCCAGTATACCCTCCCTTTTCCATATTGCATAGAGAACTCCAGACACTGTTTTCTGTAATTTTTTCTTTCTTTTGGAGGTTAGTTCATCTATGTCTGCGGCTTGAATCATGACCTTGCACCTATATACAGAAAGATCTCAGATGGATCCAAGCATCCAAGCTCAAAGTGATAACAGTTGGAAGGTACAACTATTTACCTGATAGCAGGATATGTTAGAACAGTAGCAACACTCTTCGAAATAGCACCTAGAAGAAATGCCATAAATGCAGAAAGGGATGCTGGAGATAATCCTTTATCATCTTCGTCTCTTATATTCCTCAGTGCTCGCTCTTTCAATTGATCAAACACTGTATACTGCAGTGCATGATATTTTCAAATTCATCTGTTTCAGTTTCTCAAAACAAGCATTTTAAATGGAAATTAACTTAACAGAAAACACTCAAGCATGTTATAGAATTCCAGTTGATACAAACCACATATTGACTTAAAGCACCTGAATTGCAGGGTTTGAGGTCAGCAGCAAGGAAATGCCTAGGCCATCAAATGCATCACTACAGGTGCCTTCTGCAAGGGTCTTCAATAGCCCTTTGGACTTTCCAAAGGCACTTGTCTGCATCCTTGAAGAGGCTGTATCCAGGGGCTACATTGTCATCAATTAATCTTTAATTAAACTTACAAAGTTTGATAAGATACATTCTATCTCGTACCCAGCATGACAAAGGATTAAAAAGAGAACATTGTGTTATAGACTTATAGTAACATATATTAGAACCCGTGATTTGTTTCTGCTCCTTCCCTATATCATGGATCATTGACCAAAAGCTATAGTATATTAAAGATTAGAAGGATAGTTAATGCAGAATTGAGAAGCATAATTAATTAGGATTTGTCTAGGATTTTATATTTGATCAGGGTTTTATACTTAACTAAGATTCTTCTGTGATTTTTATTATCTTTGGGTTAGAAATACTCTTTAAGTGCCTTATGTTAATCAGACTTCTGTATAAATGATTATTGCTATTTCATTTTCCTTCAAAGAACATATGAAACCAAGACAGGGGAGTACTCTTCCTACTCTACCCTAGAAGAGTACTCTAGGTTTATCAGTCAAGGGAGTACCCTACCCAAGGGAAATATCTAAACTACTTCTGTCAGCACCCACTTTTTCATACATCCCTGCAATTAAAATCAAACCCTAACACTAACATGACAATATGTCAGTGCAAAGGAGAGAGAAAAGTAGAGACAGTCGCTGGTGATTATCTTATTAAATACAGATGTCTCATTTTGAATGGCAGTAGTACCCACAAGTAGGTGTCTCATTTTGAATGGCAGTAGTACTCACCACTAGGTGCTCCTATGGTACTAAATATGCGCTCCCAAGGGAAAGAGACTCTTGGTTACTGTTCTACAATTTACATCACTAATAGTCTTTGCTGTACACAATGATTGAACATATTTTTGTCTTACTCCGGAAATGAATTAAATCCTTTCCTTTTGATCCCATAGACTACAATGAATCATAAAAGATAACATCATACTACCAATAAAGTGTATGCATAAAAGACTTGAATCATGATTTTTCCGTATAATAATTTTGCACTATAAATCACTCCATATCATATAATGAATATTTGGCTACAAATGATTTTGTTAACAGCAGCTCCTGTTCTAAACATCATAAAACAAAGTTTTCAAATCCATAGCTAAAACTTGGAATATTAATTTTGCCTCACCTGAGTTACAATGGCTGTGCAGGCGCCAGCAGCAGCAGCAATTACCAAGTTTGCTTTGGTTCCAATGGATTTGGAACCACTTTTATCAAGATACACTCTTTTGAAGTAGCTGTACCCATAGAAGTAAACAAACTGTGAAACAAAAGATTGAAGATTTTTGGTTCCAAGCCCCTGGTAAAGGGAAAGCACCTGACCGGTAGATATTGCTTCCCACAACACATCAGAGAGGTTCCTGCAAAAGTTTTAAAAATAATAATAATAATAAATAGAGGGAAAAACCTAAAAAATATAACTTTGTGTCATTTTATATCCTAACAGTTAATTTTCGTCAATTAACGGTTATAATTTATAGGGTCAAATTTATTAATGAGTTATATTTATCTCATTCAACCTAAGAAAAACCAAATTCCTACACACATAATAAAGATGAATCTCACCTCTATTTTTTTTTTCTCCAATTATTTGTAGGTCTATCTTATAATTTTGTTTTACTAACATAAGATAATTATCTTCAACAACATAAGAAAAACATTTTTCTTTGTTAATTAACTAGTAATTCCTAATAAATTATAACCGTTAATTGACAGAATCAACTGTTAGGATTTAAAAGTACACAAAGTTATATCTTTAAAATTACAAAAGTTTTTCCCATAAATTAAATTAAAATGAAATCAACTGCATCCAAAAAATGTCATAACTTCTACCAGCTAATTCTGTTAATGATCACAGCTTAAGCAACCAAAATCAACTATAGCCTAATTATTTGATGACACCCTTCAATAATGAAATGCAAACCCACCAATCCAATCAAATTAACCATGATAAAACTAAGAAGAAAAATTGAATTTTGATAGAGAGATCATGGATGATAAATGAGCAACAAGACAAAGAAACAAAGAGAGACCCAAATGAAGAAAATGAAAGAGAGAAACATTGATGAGTGAAGGAAGGCTACCTATACTTCGGGTGACCATGGGAAGGAACCTCAGCTTGGAACTTGGTCTTGCAAGTGTCAAGAGGGTACAAGATGGTTGTGCTCAAAAGTGATCCTATGGCTCCTGAGGTTGCCTCTGCCAACGATTCCAGATCAACGTTCATTTTCATGAATCAGGGAATGTAATGAGCATGAATTCTGTTAGCTACAAAAGGGGTGAAAAAAAGATTTGGATCACTGCATAAAGATAGAGATAACGACCTCGCTGGAACACAAACATGGTACATGTGATGCCATGGCATCAACCACGTTCAGAATTGGAAACATGACCAAATTTATTTACGTGCACACATGTAAAACGTTTATTTTCTTGTATTTTACTTCGACGAAAAAAAAACAAAATAAGAGCAAGGAATTATCATGATAAGTTACTGGTGAGGGATTCACGCTTAAAATTTTAACTCTCCAAAATATAGTATGTGAATAATTAATGTTTAAAATTGATTAAAATTATAATTACAAAAAAAAAGCTAATTATCATAATACAAGTATAATTTAGACGGGTAAATTATTTGGGTAACGCAATCTTTTGAGGTTGTTCGGACTTCCCTATTATTTTGTAATTTTTTTTTACTAATTTGTAATTTATAATCTAAAAATAATTATTTCAAATAATTTTTATTTTTTTTATTTTTTTGTAAATAAAGAGGGGCTAAGCCCCAGAAACAGAAAGAAATTACAAATCAGAAACTAACAAGCTAAACATATTTCTAGCATCAGCAACTATAAGTTCCATCAACTGAGGAGGAGGATCTTTAAAAATCTTGAAATAGAGATTATTAGTCTGCCCAGCTTTAGCTAACCAATGAGCACATTTGTTGTTTTCTCTCTTGGTATGAACAAGATGAATAGTCCAATCTGCTTTTAACCATAATCTCAATCTGCTAGTGACTTGAGAGTCCCTAGGATCTTCATGCTGCTCCTTTAACATCTGGATGGCTTGGCTAGAATCACATTCTAGCTCTATTCTTTTTAATCATGTTCCCCAAAGCAGTTCCAAACCTTTCAGTAATCCCCATAATTCTGCATCAAGAGGATTGCAGGAACCTAAATTACAATAGAAGCTTCCCAAAAAGGATCCATTGTGATCTCTTAATATACCACCACAACTAGCTTTTTTCATGCCACTAGAAGAAGCTCCATCACAATTCAACTTAACCCACCCTTGCTTGGGGGCTGTCCAAATGCTATCGTTGGAATCACCACGGCGCTGATAAATTCGGGCTTGCAGAATCTGTTGGACAAACATCCAAATTGAAGCCTGCGATTGCTCATCATGACAGAAATGATCTTCATGGATCTCCAAATTTCTCCACTTCCACAAAAACCAACAAGTAGTAAAGAAAATATCCCTCCAGTCCTTCACTTTATTGGAGGACCACATGTTATCGATATTTAAAGTCAACCAATCCTGCAAATTCGAATTTATTTAATTAACTTGTGTTAAAAACTTATATTAATTTACATTGAAATATTTAAATTAACTATTATTTAACATCGATGAATATATAATTTTTTTTTTGGAATATGATGAATATATAATTTATTAAAACCATTCACTCCTTATATAATGTTTCGGATGTGCTCAATTATAACTCGGAGACATAATAAAAGTTGTAATATAATATCAATTAACATGAATCTTGAGATAATTCAAAACCTCACATCATAATTTTATATTTTTCATATGAGATTTCAAATCCTATATCTTATTTTAAAAAAGGGAAAATATACTCTTATATTGTAGGAGAAAATTTTTCTCTCCTACACATACATCGATTTTGTGTTACTTTTTTATTCCTTTTTTCTTTTTCTATAATAAGTGAGTCTCACACATGATTATCTTTATTGCATCAGAGAGTTCTCTCCTATTGCATGAGATTAATAAAGCCCTTTAAAAAATATGTATTATGTCTATGTCTAAGAAATCTTAATTCCGAGATGAGGGAATGATAGGTTGAATCGAGCAAACAAGCAGAGTTAAGTTGGCACGCATTGGGTCAAAAGTCGACGATGCAGAGATACGTCAATGGAATGCAAGTAGGGGTGAAACTGGGCCGGGCGAGCCTACAGGGGCCTCCGGCTCGGCCTACGACAGGCCGAACCTGACTTAGAATATTTCGTAAAATAGGTCGAATTTGGGCCTTGAAAAAGCTTGTTTAATAAAAAGGTCAGAGGCCCTCTTTCACAAGGCCTAGCCTATAAGCCTACAGGCCGGCCTATATTGTATTATTTATTTTAAATAAAATAAAATAGAATAAGTATGCCTTGAAGAAAAAACAAAAGATATAAATTTAATCAATTGCAATTATTTATAACTTAATTATATTCGATTATATTTTAATAGAAATCTGACTTTATTTCTTATGTAGGAGAAACCAGCATCTCAGCATGTTAGATTGTGTATATGAATATAATAAAATATTTTTGGAAGAGGTTATACTTACTGCAAGCATCATGGTGTGTTTGTTGGATTCATGTAGTTATTTTAATTTAGATATTATGGATTTATTTGTTGGATCTGATAAAATATATGTTATTTTGTTTGAACATTTTGTTTTTGAAAGTGACTTAAATATAAATTGTATGAGTTTTACTGTGATTCATGATTCTGTTTGAACGTTGAAATTATGAGTTTTGATTTAGCAACAAAATTTGAGTATTTTGTAAAGTTGATTCATGGTTCTACTTGGAAGTTAAAAGTTAACAGGCTAATGGGCTAGGCCAAGCAATTTGTTTTTTTATAAACGGGCCAAGGCAGGCTAACAATTAGACTCGTACTAGGTTTGGAACAGGCCAAATTGAATTTTTTTTTTGCATAGGCTTGGGCTTTTCGGGGCAAAGCTTGGCCTAGCCCAGCCCACTTTCACCCCTAAATGCAAGTGCCTGATATTCAAAGCAATGGTGCGAACTTGCCAAAAAAAATTAATTTAATGTTTTTTAATAAATTAATTATGTATTTATTACAGTTTTGAAAATAATTATGCATTCATTGCACAATGTGACGTCCTTTTCGCCCCTTTCAGGCGTCACACTCTAAGGGGAGACGCCTCAATGGGGCGTCACACTTGAGCCCTATATATACCCCCATTTTTACCATTTTACTTCTCACTCTTACCATTTCACCTCTCTCTAACCACGGATTGTGCTCCCGACCGAACGCGAAAATTTTCGTAATGAAGCTCTGTCAACTTAGGTAAGTTCGTAATACCTGCTATGTATACGTTTAAATTATAGTGCTACCTTGCGAACATGTTAGAATTTATCGTATATTAGAGACTTAGAACATAAGGATAGTCACTTAGAAATTTTGTACCATGCTATGAATGTTGTAATGATTTAGTAATTTTTTCGTTACGCAGTTATTATTATTAATATTTAATTATGCATTGGGGTTTAGCATATTAATTAGTGATTTAGAAAATAATGATAGTGACTTCGTAAATTTTGTATGATGTTATTAATGCCGGAGTGTATTGATAATTTTGTAGTCACTTAGGTGTTATTATTAGTACATATTTATGAAATTATTAGTGACTTAGGGTTAAGTATTATGTCAGTATGATTTAATTTGTGTCCGATGTTTTATTATTATTTAATTACAAATAAATTACTGTACTATGTATTAATATTATTTCATTAATTACGATTGTAGTAAAAATGTAGGATTTATGCTTAATATTTTTGATAATAAATTAGGGCATTGCTTAATTAATTTGTACATAAAATGTGTTGTTACATGTGATTAATTTCAATGTTGTTTTATATTATATAGTTTAGGGTCATGGGTGATTCATCATCATCTGCGGGTTCTGCATCGGATCCAGAGCCTACCGATCGTAGCATGTACATCATACCTGGGCCATATAGATGGGACGTCCTTCGTAAGAGGACGCAGAGTGCCCATATTTCACAGCGAGTGTGGAATACGAAACATGTGAGGAGACTGAAGACCAGGCGTGGGAGACCACAGGGGGGCCACCTACCGGCGCTATTCCAGAGGTGGTCACAGACGACCTCACACAGGCTGGATTTATACATGTTGCCCGCATGCGACATATCCAGGTATGCAATTTCTGACGTTTTGTATTTATGTGATTATTCAATACCATTCTTTAACACGTGATAATTGTATAATTTATTTCAGATTGATGCCCCATTAATTAGTGCTCTGGTCGAGAGGTGGAGACCAGAGACACATACTTTCCACATGACCTAGGGTGAGATGACTATCACCTTGCAGGATGTGGCTGGCATATTGGGATTGCCTACTGACGGCATTGTCGTTACCAGATCTACATCCGAGGATTGGTTCGCTGTTTGTGCTGTTGTTTTTGGTGCCCAGCCACTGGCCAGTGAGTTTCATCATTCAGGTGACCTCCACATCTCATTCTTGTATCGTTTATATACCCGGTGGAACGATCATGCCGGGGATCATGATCGCGAGATATATTTCACAAAGGCGCACATTGCCCGCATGCTGGTGTGTTGGTTGCTGGCGGACAAGTCTGGAGGTAGCAATATCGGTTGTCGGCTAGTCCCGTTGCTTGAGGGAGGATTTGATGAGATTGACCGTTTCAGCTGGGGATCTGCAGTTCTGGCACACTTGTTCAGAAATTTGTGCGAGTGTACAGATGTCGGTTGATCTGACATGGGTGGTTGCCATATTCTTCTACAGATTTGGGCATGGATACGATTCTCACCATTGCTCCACCCCTTCCTCCTCATCCAGAGCCTGGCACACATTATGGATGCCGGTATGCTTTATTAAATTCATTTAATTTCGCTAATGATGTATCATATATACTAATTGTATACTTGCTTGATGATGATTGATGATGTATGTTTAATACGGTGGCAAGATTTAACCCGCATGAGTTTGTCCATTATCGGGCAACCTTGGATACATTATGTACAGATGAGGTAAGGTTGTAGTTACTTAGTATCTTGTTATTTCATCATGCATGTATATTTTATGTAACACCATATATTCGTTATCATTTTGTGTGTAGGTGGTGCGGCAACCATATTCCGATTATCAATGGCTGGACGTGACTCCACAATAGCAGTATCTTTGGCTTGCTGTCACACCCCTTATTTACTTCCACACCGTAGAGGCATGTCAACCGGATAGGTGCATGTGACAGTTTGGTCTGGATCAACCCATCCCGGATGTGAGCAGGAAGTTGAAAGGGATCCATGATCATACTCTGCAGGGGAAGGTTGACGAGAACTGGAGGCGTAAGCTTCGTCCTTGGATTTCCAGATGGCAGGCCAGGGAGCCTCAATTCAGGTATATACAAATTATATCAATTACCTTCATGATGATTTCCTAATGGGGCAGACGCAACGTCATGCAATTGCGGCATTTGCGCGACCATTGCTTCATGGTATACTGGTATTTGAGATGCACCCATCTCACCACCTTCATCTCCTTCTGAAGCACTAGCATCCTTCGCCAGAAGACGTTCTTCCATTGCGATATTTTCATCATCATTGTCGTCGTCTTCGTCATGCATTTCCCAAGTCGGATCATTTTCATCTCCCTCAGAAATGTTACCAGCTGAGACGCATGAGCGGCAGACGTTGATGGAAGACGGGGAGAATTTAAATCAACTGACCTCACCGGTAATGGAACATTCTCAGCTGTGGCGATGTCGACATACAACTCCAGAAAATCTGTCCTTGACTGGTTGAAAAATTCATCCATTGTCATCTCCACGTCTTCATCGTCAACCACTTGCAAACTAATGTATTTATCACATTGACATAACCTTGTCGTGATCTGAGTGATACATTGGTTGCCTTGAAGACTTAACTTCTGCCGAATTCTCTGATGCAGTTCGCCAATGGTTGCGTTGCATTGGATATGCGTCGACCTTTTTTCACCTTCAAACCTGACACCTCGTCGACCTTCTACCTTCCTACCATTGTAATATAACACAACACGAGCAGAATTAGGATGTGAACTCATTCTTAAATAGAATAAGAAATAAAATGAAAATACTAAATTAAAGATAAAGGATGTATGATGTCTGAATTTTTGGTAGAGAAAAGATATGAAGAGTGAGAGAAGTGGCGTGAAGAGTGAATGGAGTGGTAGGGGAATATATAGGGCCGCACATGTGACGCCCCAACTGGGCGTATCCCCTTAGCTGTGACGCCTGAAAGGGGCGTCACATTGTGCAATAAATGTGTAAATTTTTTGAAAAGTGTAATAAATTCGTAAGTACTTTATTAAAAAACAATAAATGAATTGTTTTACCGTGCGAACTCAGCTTGGATTCAAGCTCTTGACCTGGTTTGACTTTATGTCTTAGTTATGCGTGTGGCTATGAGTCTGTGACGATGGCTACAACTACGGAATGGTGGACCTAGCTAGTTAGGTGAAGAAGGCACTCCCACCCTTAAATAAATTTTAGAAAAAATATGTATCTTTTTAAATGATATAATATATATCATTTTATTCTCATAAAGAGGTAAGATCCATATCTTTATTTTATTTTTGTCAACTCTCTCTTCTTCTTTATTTATCTCTTTCTCTCTTTTAACACTACTAAAAAAGTCTATTTTTTCGACGGAAAAATTCCATCGAAAATGGTATAAATTCCGTCGAAAATGAAGTTTTCGACGGAATTCAAGTCGTGGAATTTTACTTCGTTGATAACCCATTTTTCGACGGAATTAAAAATTCGGTCAAAAATTTTCAACGGAATTTATTTCCGTGGAAATCTTCGACGGAATTTGTTTCCTTGGAAAATCTTCGACGAAATTTGTGTCTGTGGAAAATCTTCGACGGAATTAGTTTTCGTGGAAAATATTCGACTGAATTGGTTTTCGTAGAAAATCTTCGACGAAATTCGTTTCCATGGAAAATCTTCGACGGAATTTGTTTTTCGTCGAAAATTTTGAATTAATTTTTTAAAAATTTTGGTTAAATTTCACTAATAATATTTAAATTAATTTTTTTAAAAAAAATTGATGAACCCTTAGTTCATCAGGTTTTTTAGCATGAATTAGTATAAATTTGTGTGATTAAATGGATGAAAAAGAGGTCAATGTCCTATAAATTCCTAAATACAAGTTCTGGAAGTTGTATTGAGAATTTACATTGTTCTTGTAGGGAATTGAAGCTCAAAGAAGCAAAAGAGAGAAGGAAGAAGATTCTGAAAATTGGAAAATTCTAAGCGTTGGGCGCTAAAACGCCCAAAACTGAGCGTTTTAGCGCCCTGCTGCACAATAGATGCTGGTGCTGAACATTAAAACGCCCAAAACTGAGCGTTTTAGCGCCCTGCTGCACAAAAAATGCTGGTGCTGAACATTAAAACAGCCAAAACTGGGCGTTTTAGCGCCCAAGACAGTTAAAAGCAGTTGGGCTTCCGTCAAGGTTGAGCGCTTAAACGTCCAGAAATGAGAGTTTTAGCGCCCATGTCAGTTTTCAGTTGTAATTTGTAAATTATAAAAGGACAAGGGGCCTTCACAAGATGGGAGGAGATGCAACTCTCTCATATCCATTCTCTGATATTCTGACTTTCCCCATCACACTAGAAGAAGGGAGATCAGGTCAGATCTTTCATAGATCTGATCTGACTCCTCATTTTCTTTGACTTTCCAAATTCTTAGGACTTAGTATTGTAATAGTTAGTATACTTTCATGTAATTGTACTTGAAGATTGAAGACTCAACTATCATGACAATGGAGTTTGATCTTTATTCTTCTTCTCTTGTTATTACTTGTATTATGTCTGAGTAGAGTCCTTTGTAGTCTTATTCAATGGAACTCAAGTTTGAATTTATGAATGGTTAATTAGATGTTTTGTTTATCTATTATGTGATTGTATAAAATTGTCTTGATTAATTCTTCATGTTGAGGAATAGTGTAGAACATACATGTTTACATTATTTCTTCATTTTTGACAACTTCATCATCAGTGTTCTAGTAGTCAAGGGATTGATGCTAGGATTCTGATGTGATCTTAAGACCTTAGTAATTAATGCATGTATTAAGAAATGAATCACCAAGGGATTGGGGTTTCTGATTAATGTGTCTATCAGGGTAGTAAGGGATTACATTTTGAGATGATAAGAAAAAAGTGGATCAACATCACATAGTAGATAATTCATAATGGAAATTGGTTCATCTATAAATTCATGTTTGTGAGAAAATGACATCTGACTACTTGTTTACATTATAATTTACATTTTATTTATTTATCAAGTTTTAATTCAATTCAGTGTAATTTCTGGTGACAAGAAATCTATGCAATCTATGAACTTTTGTTTGATTCAACTCAGGTACATATGGTTAGTCAGTCCTTGACACAAATCCTCGTGGGAACGATCTTTACTCATCATTTTATTACTTGTAGGACTAGTACACTTGCTAGATTCGCAACAAAAATCTTTCGTATAAATTTTTATTCAATAAGTAAATAAGAATTTCAAGCATATAATGTACAATTAAACTAAGATCAACGCCCAAAAACTACAATACCTTATGAAAAATATTAATCGTATTTAATATCACATATACAAATTAAAACTAACATAATGAAAAATATGAATTGTATACAAAGAATTTGAAATAGTACAATACATAATGGAACTTGCGAGTGTTCTCTTCACTGAGTCTCACAATTTCTTTGCTCAACCTTATCACTTCATCATCATTTGTAGCTGCAAATTGGACTTCCTCCTCTTCTGTTCTGCCATCTATTTAATGTTAGCATCGCTTTCATTTTCCTGATGAATTTTTAAATCCTTCACTGCATTGCAATAGTTACTGTAATATCATTACTTTCTCAAACAAATTTTTAAATCCTTCACTGCATTGCAATAGTTACTGTAATATCATTACTTTCTCAAACAAACTATGAAAATATTGGATTAGGATTTTAAAATACTTTTTTGAGATAAAAAAATCGTACAGATTTTAAAAGACATTTTAGAATTGGAGAGACTTTATAGACTTTTTTAAAAGACTTTTTTTACAATCAAGATTTTATATGATTGGATTTTAAAGGATTTTAATAGAATTCATAAGATTTGAAAGGACAATATGAATTTATAAAATTTTAAAAAACTATATGAATTTTTAACGAATATTCAAAATTACAAGAGTCAATAAAAACAAATAACAAAGAAATGCAATGATATTAATAAATAAAAATAAACTTAACAACGGGTTGAAAATTATCTCAAAAATTACTAAGCAACAACTCTCCACATATCAATAAAATCTAATATAATTTTCTCAATGAGTTTAGTTGGATTTGCGAAGATAATAACCATATATCAACGGTTAACTTCCAAATTAAATATTAATTAATGAGTTTGATTTGCGAAAATAATAACCATTGATTAACGGAAATCAACGATTAAGATATGGTTATAAAAGGTTGTAAATAAAAACAGGCTGTAAGTATAATATTCCCCATAAAAAAATAACAAAGAAATGCAATGAAATTAATAAAAAAAAAGTAAAACCTAATATAATTTTCTCAATCAGTAAAACATAATATAATTTTTAAGAAACATTCAAAATTACTAAACAACACATTTTCACATATCTAATGGGTTGAAAATTATCTTCTTCATTTGTTATCAAAGTTATGCATATATGATTATAAAACCAATTTTTTTTTA